CCTACGTAGGCAATCACAGAGCAGTGGTTTTGTTCCCCCCCTCCTCCGTTGCATGTTCTAGGGAAACAAGTCTATCACATTATCATCCTGTGAGACCTTCTGATTCACAAGCAGAATACTTTGAACATGAATTGCTGGGGAGCTACTGGATATAGCTATTGCCTTCAATATTGCCTGGCTAGCCACTCAGAGAAGGAGGATAGTGGGCTAGCTGAACCTTTGCTCTAATCTTATGTTAGGTACTTATATTTTAATCCTAGAGTTCTTTGGAAGTCTGCCACAGGTTTCCTGGAAGAGCGCTTATCTATCACTAATGGTCTTAACCTGGAATGCACAGATATAAGGAGTCCAAAAACTCAGTAGGAGACTGATCATGCTGGTCAAGATCAAACATGTAATTGACAGTTCAACCTGCCAACTACTGGCATTTCTTTCACACTAATACAGCCAGTGGGGCATATCCGAAGAACACAGGAAGCTGCCTTATACTGAGTCTGGTCTCTCTAATCTGGTACTGTTCTCATGGAATGTCAGAAGCCCACCAAGAGCCTTTCCTCTCCTGAAGATGCCAGGGACTGGACCTGGGACTTGGGTGATTCCCACTCAGCTATCATTCAGCAGCAATGGAACCTGGTTGAGAGACAGAAGGCCTGTTTTATAGCTGAGACACTGGGCTGAGGCTGCTTGTCTCATTTTTTCCTTCCCCTGTGACGTACTTAAAGGCTGCTCCTGACAGAAACCTGATCTCTTGGCCCTTTGCTCTGTCAGGATCCAGGCATCAAGTTAAGCAATTGGAGTGGTGCTGTCCTAGTATTGAGGGCCGCATCATCTCCTCTACCCATCCATGTACTACACTCGTCAGCTGACTCCCACAGAATGTAACTATGAGATTTCTGAGAGAGTACTCCCAGCCATCAAGGTAACCTTTGAGGAATGACATTTTCTGGAAGGCACTGCATACCTAACGAAGTACTAGCAGGCCATCACAACTTGGAGCATTTCCAATCTATGAAATGCCTGTGGCCATTCTAACCCAAATGTGTTGGGTCCTGTTTTTCTCATGCCTTAATTGCCAAATGGCCTATTGGTCTGTCCCAAAGAATGGCAAAGCATTTGGATTGCAGGGTGAGTCACTGGTGGATACTGCTTCTCTGACCTTGTGTTATACACAGGCTGCCTGCACTACAAGGGCCGCCTCTATATCCCTGAGAGGAGTCTCCAGTTCCAGGTTCTCTAGCAATGTCAAGAGGACCATGGTGTTCCACCTAGTAGCATGGGCTTCTTGGTAGCCAACCCTCTGACCTAATAGCTGCAGATAGCTTCAGTCATGTGAGACATGGACTTGAGCCAAGATCCCTTGCCTGGAGTTCCAAGGCCTCTTACAAACTGGCAGTTCCCAACTCAAGTTTTCCATCTTCATGGACTGCTAGATGCCATAGTCTCTGACTGCAAAACTCAACTTATGTCCTGGTTCTGGACATGGTGGGCATGTCATGAGCAGAGCCAGCTGGAGCCAGGGGTCAGACTAGGTAGCCCGGGAGGCCCCTTCTGACTCACTCTGTTTCTATGTTTCTTGAAATCAAGTTAAAGCTATCATCAGCATACCAGCCTCAGATGAATGGAGAGATGGCATATGTGAATCAAGTAGCAGAATGATACCTCAGCTGCTTCCTAAGCTATCATCAGCTAAGGAAGGATGGAGCTGGTGTCCCTTGCTGCACTGTCTTACAAGAATGCTAATCGTACATCTGTAGGGTAAAGTCTGCTGCTTGCTACCTACCCTTGCAACGTCTACACACCAGCTACTTCTCTCCCCGCCAGCCAATGTGCATGTGGCTGGCTGAAGCTTCTTCAACATGTGGAACAAGTTAAAGCCACATACAAACACAGGTGGCTTACAAGAGTCAGGAAGAGCCCTAGTTGCAGATGGGGGCCAGAGTGTGGCTGTCAATGGAGAACTACCACTTGCAAACTACAGGTTCCAGGGTCCTTTTTGGTGATCAAACAAGTCAGTCCAGTCAACTATGAACTAGACCATCCCCACATATCTTTAAGTCTGTCCAGTCATCCATGTGTCCTAACTGAAGCAGTATCAACAGACCGCAACTGTAAAGCTCCACCACCCCAGCAGTAAAGGTCCAGGATCACAATAACCATCATGTTGTGAATATCCTGGATTCCAAGTGAATCTGAGGCAAGGTCCATTATTTGGTGGAGCAGGAGGGATACAGTCACAAGGAGCAATCATGGGAAACTGTAAACTACACCCTTGTTCCAAGCCTTCCATAGAATCCACCCTGATAAACCCAGACCTTGAGTAGGGAAGGGACTCTCTCATTTTTAAGGCAGGGGTGGAGAGGCTACTGTCAGGATCTGGGCAGCTCCAGGGCTCCATCTATTCACCAGTTCCAGAATGGCTACTGTAGTCCCAGATGCTGCAGGAGCTCTCAGCATTGTTGATGAGTGCCAGCAGGGACATCTGGGGGAAGAGCTTTTAAGGCCAAACTCTTTCTTCCACTGTCTCCTGCAGAAGCACAGGCCTTCCTGCTTGTTGTTCCAGTTCCAGCATCACTGTAACCAAGCTGATTTAACTCTAAAAGGGCATCAAACTTTTAGTTGCACTACAGTAAATTCAAGTTATAGTTATATCCATTTGGTTAGACAGGAACACTGAAAAATTATAACTTGGCACTGAGATATTCACAGAGACCCATAAAAGTATATATTGCAGGACATTTTCCTTAGAAAATATAATGGAAAGAAGCAAAATATTCTCAATGAGGTTTGGATAACTAGTGAAGCAGAATGCTGGTGTTTATCCAACCTGGAAGACGATTATCGCTTCATATGCAATATTATTCACTTTTAAATATTTATTGCTTAAGTAAAACAGTAATTTCATCAGGATTACATATCCCTTTGCTATATGCCACTCTGCACAGTCTTCTGCTCACAGATCATTGACATAATGGAAAAGAAAATATTATGTGTTGATCAGAGACAGCATGATCATAAAGAAGTAAGCAGCTTGTTCTTTCAAGCTGAAAAAAGAAAATATTTCCGTTATTATCATACATGCATTACAAGGGATTAACAGGGGGTGCTGTTTTCTTTGTTTGTTTTTGTTTTGGAGTTGTGCAAAGCATGCCAGGTATTTTACTTAGCAAGGTTTGTAAGCAAAGTATGTCTCTACTTTGAAATATAACAAGGATCTGGTGCCTTGTGCCCACTTCTGGATCTAGAACACTAACCTTTACTTGACTGTCCTTTCCACATTATTTCTAGACATTAACACTCCAGCTACACAGAGGTCTCTTGCTAAGTGATGGACTCATCTCCCTGTTTTGCTTTATAAAATGATGGCAATTTTTTTCAGACACACACTAATTCCATTCTGTTTCTGCATCAGATTTTTAAAACTGTGCATAAAAATTTGGACAAATATGGATGAAAACATGCATGGAATGTTGCATGTATATGCTTGTTCTAATATATGCATTTTGCAAACAATTTCCCCTAATTTATGTGTATTTGCATTTATCTTCCCTAAAGTATGCATACCTCTTTTTAAATCAGTTAACTGCATTGCAAAATGCAGACAAGTGTGAAAATGGAAGGTTAATTGCATTCTGTTACACATACTATTACTTTGGAAACTGAACTGGTTCAGTTCATATTTGAATGCAAACTAAAATATTTTCTCCCTCTGCTCCTTTAATGGCTGTTTCTCAGTTGCTACTAATGCCAATAAAGTGTCTGCCAGGAAGTACTGCTATCTCTCTGTATCCCCACTTTCAAATCCCACCCTCTCAAGCCCATTTTTTCCACATTCTGTCTTCCATCATGTCTTGAAACTAGGCTTAAGTATCTTCACCTCAAGGAAGCACATGGTTTATCCTCCCATTCCACCCTCGAGTCTCCTGTTACTTGGGCTGGATTTTAGTTGCAAGTTACTCAGAGCATGGACCTGCCTTTTCATTTTTGCTTTTATTTTAAAATACCATGCATATTGAAGGAACATGGCAATAGTAGGACTAGAGCAAGAATAATGTAAAATTAAAGAACAACTGATTTCTTTCATGCACAATTGCTGCTGTTGCTAGAACTGCAATGGTTTATGAAACATTTAGCAACAACCATTTGGACTTCCAATAAATCAAAGTTGTTTGTATCACAGGAATACAAACTCAGTTATGAAGTGAAGCAATCGCCTCCCCATGCATCTGAATTTGATTTTGAACTTTTGCGAAAATAGGTTAAAACACAATGAAGATACATCAGTAACAAAACAATATTTAGCACCCAGCCTAAGCCCATGGCTATCACATAGTTCACACAGGGCAGTGGCTAAGCCTAAATAAGTGGTTTCAAGGTCATCTTGTCACAGTGCACTGACACTCTCTGGAGGGTGTGCAAATTCTTTCTGGCAACCTTGAATCTGTAGACATGGGTGGGTATGGTGATCCCCATCCCTTACTGGCCCTCCCCTGTCTAGAGAATGAGTTTGCTTGGATCCCATTGCTTGAAGCAGCTCAGAGTACCTTCAAGTAGCAACATCAAAGCCAACACAATCCTCTCACTGTTGGTTCTTCCCCTCAGGGTTAGGTCCTGCTTAAACTCACTTGTCCATGAATCCCCAAGACCTTCCTGAAGAAAAGTTTGTGGGGACAGCTTGCGAGGAGATTAGGGCTGGTGAGCATAATTTTTGACTTGGCCAGAAAGACCAGCCAAAAAATATAAACACCTGTATATTACTCAGACATGAGTCAAAATAAATAAAGTGAAACCATTTTTCAAGGGGTTTAGGAAAGGCTGCCTACAAACTGGCATTTTCATAGGATTCCTGACCCTGAAGTTCGAATTAAAGTATCGATTATGAAATTGGCTGCTTTCCTGGTATATTTTAATGTAACAATTAAAGCAATAAGTAACTAATTTTGGAAGAAGCAGTTACAAATACAATGTTTAAAAGGTCACAGTCTCACAATAATTTTGCTTACTGTTCTGGCATCCCAAAGAGACAGAGTCTTGTCTGCAGAGCTGGTGAGAATGATGTTGGAGAAAGGAAGAAATTCAATGCTGTTTACTGAATCCTTATGGCCACGCAAGGTGTATCTGCATCTCTCACTATTAAAATAAAAAAATAATACAATGACATATCCTAAACAACTCTTGCTGTAGAATAAATGAGCTAACAAAAGGGTAACAGTAAATAAGCTTACCATGTCTTGGCATACACAGTATTTATGTGGACAATACATTTTTATTTTGAATATTCATATTCTGCCTTTTTATATACATGATCAAGGTAGCTGGCAAGAGAGTTGGCATCCATTTTTGAGGTCTCGTGGAGAACAGGTGAAGTTCCAGAGGACTGGAGGGTGGCATCAGTGGTCCCAATTTTCAAAAAGGGTAGTAGAAGGGACATGGGGAATTACAGACCTGTTAGCCTTACGTCCATTGTAGGAAAAACAATGGAAAGGCTCATAATCAAGAGAGATCTAGTGATGCTAGATAGGGAAGGGAGGCTGACAGCCACACAACACGGCTTCCTCAAAAACAGGTCCTGCCAGACAAACCTTGTGGAATTCTATGACAAGGTTTCGAGATGGCTAGATGGAGGGGATGCAGTGGATGTGGTATACCTGGATTTCAGCAAGGCCTTTAACAAAGTGCCCCATGATATCCTGGTGGAGAAACTGAGGAGTTTTGGGATACGCCAAAGCACTGTCCGGTGGATTAGGGCATGGTTGACTGACTGAAAGCAGAAGGGAACCTTAAGTGGGGAATCACTGGGATGGCAGCCAGTGACAAGCGAGGTCCCCCAGGGCTCTGTCCTGGGGCCAGTCCTGTTTAATCTTCTCATTAATGACATGGAAGAAGGGGTGAACAGTCTGCTGATCAAATTCGCAGATGACACTAAAACTGGAGCAGTGGCCACAACTGAGGAGCAGGTACTCCAGATCCAAAAGGATCTGGACAGACTATGGAAGTGGGCAAGAGACAACAGGATGGCGTTCAACGTGGATAAGTGCAAAGTCTTGCACTTGGGGCATAGGAATAGCTGTCATAAGTACAGGTTAGGGGATAAGTGGCTGGAGAGCAGCACTTGTGAAAGGGGCCTTGGGGTACTGGTTGACTGCAGGTTAAACATGAGTCAGCAGTGTGATGCGGTGGTCAAGAGGGTGAATGCCACCCTTGGTTGCATAGCCAGAAGTGTGGCTTCTAGATCGAGAGAGGTATTACTACCACTCAATACGACTCTGGTGCGTCCGCAACTGGAGTATTGTGTTCAGTTTTGGGCCCCTCATTACAGAAAGGATATAGCCAGGTTAGAGTCAGTGCAGCGTAGGGCCACAAGGTTGGTGGCCAGTTTGCAGGGGATGCGGTATGAGGCGAGACTCAGGGAACTGGGTCTCTTCAGCTTGGAGAAGAGGAGACTCAGAGGGGATATGAGCTGCCAGGCTGCTGACGGGGACTGGGCGTTATGTTCACATGACTCCAGTTCTCCGTCAGCTTCACTGACTTCCCATTGAAGTCCGGGCCCAATTCAAGGTGTTGGTGATGACCTATAAAGCCCTTAACAGCTTGGGTCCTGGTTACCTGACGGAGCGCTTACGTCCATATATGCCCGCCCACCCCTTGAGATCAGCAGGAGAGGCCCTTCTCCGGGAACCTTCTGTGAAGGAAATTAGGAGGGTAAGTACTCGGAGGAGGCTTTCTCTGTGGTGGTGCCCAATCTATGGAATGCGCTCCCCAGAGAGGTCTGCCCGGTGCCATCGTTATTTGTTTTTCGGCGCCAAGCAAAGACCTTTTTATTCAAATGTTATTTTAATTGTTAATATTATTTATTTATTTTATTCTTTGGCCAGGGCAACTTAATTTATACTGTTAAATTATATTGTTTTATATGATGTTATTTATTTCCGTTTGTGAGCCACCCTGAGGCTTCAGCGAATGGGGTGGCATAGAAGTTCCCTAAATAATAAGTAAATAAATAAATATGTTGGCGACATACAGGTATGTGAGGGGCTGTCACAGGGAGATGGGTAGAGACCTGTTCTCCCCTGCAGAGGAAGGCAGGACGCGCTCCAATGGAGCAAAGCTTAGGGAGCCAAGATTCCATTTGGATGCCAGGAAGCACTTCCTGACAGTTAGGACCCTGAGGGTGTGGAATGGGCTTCCAAGAGAGGTTGCTGAGGCACCATTGGTGCGGGTGTTCAAGGATAGGCTGGATGTGCACATGGTGGGCATGTCTTGAGCGGAGCCGGTTAGAGCTGGGGGTCAGACTAGATGGCCCGGAAGACCCCTTCTGACTCGCTCTATTTCTATGTTTCTATGTTACTCACCAAACCCCTGGCGATGTAGCTATGGGACTATGTAGAATATCATCCTGTCCCCAATGTTATTTAACATCTGTATGCAGTTGCTGAAAGTGGTTATAGCAGTTGTTGTTAGTTGCAAAGTTGTGTCCAACCCATCGCAACCCCATGGACAACATTCCTCCAGGTCTTCCTGTCCTTCACCATCCCCTGGAGTCCACTTAAGCTCACACCAACTGCTTCAGTGACTCCATCCAGTCACCTCATCCTCTGCCGTCCCCTTCTTCTTTTGCCATCTAATGTTCCCAGCATTAGGGAACATTATGTTCCATCTAATGTTCCCAGGGAGTCCTTCCTTCTCATTAGGTGGCCAAAGTATTTGAGTTTCATCTTCAGGATCTGGCCTTCTAAAGAGCAGTCAGGGTTGATCTCCTCTAGGACTGACCGGTTTGATTGCCTTGCGGTCCAGGGGACTCGCAGGAGTCTCCTCCAGCACCACAATTCAAAGGCCTCTGGCACTCATACTTCCTTATGGTCCAGCTTTCACAGCCATACATTGCAACTCGGAAAACCATAACCTTGACTATACGCACTTTTGTCAGCAGGGTGATGTCTCTGCTTTTTCATATGCAGTCTAGATTTGCCATAGCTCTCCTCCCAAGGAGCAAGCATCTATTAATTTCTTGGCTGCAGTCACCATCTGCAGTGATCTTGGAGCCCAGGAAAATAAAATCTGTCACTACCTCCATTTCTTTCTCATCTATTTGCCAGGAAGTGATAGGGCCAGATGCCATGACCTTGGTTTTTTTAATGTTGAGTTTTAAGCCAACTTTTGTGCTCTCCTCTTTCACCCGCATCAGGAGGCTCTTTAGTTCCTCTTCACTTTCTGCCATTAGAATGGTATCATCTGCGTATCACCTGGAATACTGTGTCCAGTTCTGGGCAACAACATTTAAGAAAGATGCAGGTAAATTAGAAAGGGTCCGGGGGGGGGGGGGGGGGCAACAAAAATGATGCAGGGTTTGGAAACAGTGCCCTATGAGGAGAGACTGAGAGAACTGGGCATGTTCAGCCTTGAGAAGAGAAGACTGAGGTGGGACACGATATCCCTCTATTAGTACCTCAAAGGCTGTCACAAAGAGGAAGGTCAAGATCTCTTCTTGCTGATGCCAGAGGGTAGGATACGGAATAATCAATTCAATTTGTGGCAACCCAGATTCAGACTGGACAACAGGAAAAGCTTCCTCACTGTCAGAGCAATACGACAGTGGTATACTCTGCATATCTGAGGTTGTTGATATTTCTTCCAGCAATCTTAATTCCAACTTGTGATTCATCTATCCTGGCCTTTCTCATGATGTGCTCTACATATAAGTTAAATAGGCAGAGGGACAATATACAGCCTTGCCAAACTCCTTTTCCAGTTTTAAACCAATCAGTGGTTCCGTGTCCAGTTCTCACTGTTGCTTCTTGACCCACAGAGGTTTCTCAAGAGACAAATAAGATGGTCTGGTACTCCCATCTCTCGGCACAATTTGTTGTGATCTACACAATCAAAGGCTTTAGCATAGTCAATGAAGCAGAAATAGATGTTTTTCTGGAACTCCCTAGCTTTCTTCATGATCCAGCGTATGTTGGCAATTTGATCTCTAGTTCCTCTGCCTCTTCGAAACCCTGCCTCTACTTCTGGTAGTTCATGGTCCATATACTGCTTAAGCCTAGCTTGTAGGATTTTGAGCATAAATTTGATTGCATCTGAGATGAGCGCAATGGTGCGGTAGTTTGAACTTTCTTTGGCAGTGCCCTTCTTTGGATTTGGAATTGGAATGTAAACTGACCTTTTCCAATCCTGTTGAGTGGCCACTGTTGAGTTTTCCAAAGTTGCTGGCATATTGAGTGTGGCAGCACTTTAACTACATTGTCTTTTAGGATTTGGAATAGCTCAGCTGGAATACTGTCTCTTCCACCAGCTTTGTTGTTGCTCAGACTTCCTAAGGCCCATTTGACTTCACATTCCAGAATGTCTGGCTTGAGGTCAGTTATCAGAGATGTTAAGATCCTTCTTGTATAGTTCTTCTGTGTAATCTTGCCACCTCTTCTTAATCTCTTCTGCCTCTGTTAGGTCCCTGCCATTTTGGTCCTTTATCATGCCCATCTTTGCATGAAACGTTCCCTTCATATCTCCAATTTTCTGGAAGAGATCTCTGGTCCTCCCTATTCTATTGTTTTCTTCTATTTCTTTGCACTATTCATTTAAGAAGGCATTCATATCTCTTCTAGCTATTCTCTGGAATTCTGCGTTTCATTGGGTGTATCTTTCTCCCTTGCCCTTTGCTTCCCTTCTTTCCTCAGCTATTTGTAAAGCTTCCTCAGACAGCCATTTTGCTTTCCTGCATTTCTTTTTCTTTGGGATGGTTTTAGTTGCTACCTCTTGTACAATGTTGCAAACCTCCGTCCATAGTTCATCAGGCACTCTGTCTATCAGATCTAATTCCTTAAATCTATTTGTCACCTCTACTGTATCAGGGATATGATTTAGGTCATACCTGAGTGGCCTAGTGCTTTTCCCTACTTTCTTCAATTTAAGCCTAAATTTTGCAAGAAGCTCATGATCAGAGCCACAGTCAGCTCCTGGTCTAGTTTTTACTGACTGTATAGAGTTTCTCCATCTTTGACTGCAGAGCACATAGTCAATCTGATTTCTGTGTTGACCATCTGGTGATATCCATGTGTAGAGTTGTCTCTTGGGTTGCTGGAAAAGAGTGTTTGCTATGACCATCATCTTGACAAAATTCTGCCAGCCTG